CAAAACATTGACAAAACATTGAATAGAAAAAGAAAAAGCGAATCGTCATTATTACGATTGAGAATTCATATCCTCCCCAATTCTTGATTTATTTTTGAGTTAATGAATCGAACCAATCAATTACTTTCTATATCTGAACATTTGGGAACAAATGTTACTTAATTAATAATTTATATCATTACTTAATTAATTATTTATATAACGAATATTTTGATTATGATTCAATAGACAAATAAACAAACAAACTTTGTGATTTTAATATTATTTAGCTAGAAGGATTAAAAATTAATAGCATGATTAAATGATGTCCGGCAGTATAAAAAGCAATACTGCAGGATGGGAGTACAATTGCTGATATATTTTCCGCTGAATGAAGGAGTCGAAATTAGGTCATTTCATGTTCAGATGATGGACAGTATAATGACCATCGTACCATACAATAGCTGTAAACTAGCGAATATGAACAGGGATTAGAGAAGTAGCATTTTCCCGAATGAGCGGTGAAATTAATGCGGAAATGGACAAATTGATATCTTGCAAATATCAGGATTATCCAGTAATTCATCAAATTGAACCATTTCAATAATTAAAATGCAATATTTCTGTTTTAATTACCTATCATTTTACTTTTTCATCCATTTGTGATAACATTACGTGTGATAAGTGTGATAACATCACAAATGGTTCGTGCCCATAATAACGATGGAGTCCTTTCATTCTTGATTTTACAAAAATTTTTTTAGGAATTCTATCAAAAGATTTCTTTTTAAAATTTCTTTCAAAGGGAATTGTGTACGATAAGAAAGGACAACAAATCATTGCGACGATAAATTCGCAGCAAATTTCATTTGATCTTTTAAAATTTTGATTTAATGAAAGTAATATTTCCTCCATTTCTTTTCTTCTTAAAGTAAAAATGTTCGTTTTAAAAGAAATTATTGTTATAAATGGTAATATTCTTATTTGGACACTTAATTAATTGGTTGATAGGTATTGGCAGGTGTATTAATTGGTCAATCTGGGAGTTACTTTAAATTTTTGAACTTTTAAATGATCGTGAAAATTTAGCAATTAACTATTTAATTTCAAACATTAAAGAGGGTTAATGCTTCTCTCATCCTTCATCACAACATTAATCATTTATCAATATTTGATAAGTTTGACTGTTTGCTTTAATTATCACTTATCATACAAGTCGACTTCATCCGTCTACCGTTTCCTCTCTTTCGCCTAAAAATCATTTTTAAAAAAATTTTCGACTCAACTGCGAGAAGCTATTTTACCATAATATTCATCTTTCTATAACACCGAGCGCAAAAATGCTGTATTTCATTAGTTTCCTTCTTCAATTTTTCTTTGCTGTAAAATGAAGCCATGCAAAAAGAGTGCGAATTTTAATATTCAAAGAAATTTTTGATTCTAAAACACAACAGATGAAATTAAGCATTTTTTTGGCTAATCAGAATGTTATGATAAAAGTAAAATTGTGCTAAAGTTAATTAAGTTAATCATTAATTATTAAGAGCAAGAATTTTGAAATGTTCAATTCAAATCCAAAAATATATTCAATATTTCAACACCATTTGTGAATAGCAAAGAGAAAAAGAACTTTTTTTTCGACGAGTTCGAGAAGATTTAAATTTTAAAAAAACGGAAACGTTAAAAAAGTCATTAATTTTTTTAATTAATTGGTTATTTGGATATCTATCTATCTGTTCTATTAAGAGAATCTATTAGATTAATCTACTAATCTTCTCATAATCTTATTCTTCGAGAGAAAAAACTTTTTCCTTTATTATCACTAGCCTCATTTTATCGTTATCAAACAAACCTGAACATAATTATTAAAAACGATATCAGTAGCAACAGTTAAATGAAATCTATTTAAACTAAAAAGTGACATATGCCTTCTTTTAGGTAAGAAATCGAGAAATTTTTACTATCCCAATTGATTGTATCCAACGAGAGATAGATAGATGACGAGAGCATAAATTAAATCTTGCAAAAAGTTTTGATTAACAAGTGAAAGTTAACATGAGTAAAGTTTAAAAAGGGGTTTAAATGGAGAGTTTAAAAGTTAGTTTAGTTCAACTGACTGAATTTGTACTGGTTTTAAAACACTTTGTTTCTTCTTTAAATTAGATATAATTTCGAAATGTTGAAAGTTGAATGAAAAATAAGCTGATGCGAATTACTGTCGTTTAGATATTGCAGATATTTCGAATTGGTATGAAATGAGAAAGAATTGAATCTCATTTATGGAACAGAAAAAATGAATTCTAAAACCTATACTGATTAAAATGAGGCGGAAAAAAATAAATTCTAACATCTATACTGCTTAAATTTTTACAATTAATAATTTCATATAAAAAAGAAAAAACATTCTATTCTAGAGGGAAGAGAATAACTTACTATTAATATGAATATAAAGTACTTGAATTATTTGATAATCCCATTCCTTTTATTCTCCCCCTCATTAAATTATATGCAATTTTAAAATAATAAAAAAAGGAATTTTCGAAAGAAGAAAAAATTCCAATGATCAAATTTTGTTGAATTGTTCTGATCATCTGATCATCTCTTTCATTCTGTAAATATTTCAAATTTAATTTCCTTCATAATCAGCTATCACCAATTAATCTGATTGCTTTTTTTTTCTTATTCCATCAATTCATCAAAAACTCAAAAGAGAAGCAAAATTTTTTCGAACTAGCAGAAAAGTATTTGCGAAAATAATCTCATATGGTTTATGCATATTTTACTTAAAGTCACATTTAAAGTAATCATTTTACTCAGGTGGGTGTGGATTTAGGCTACCGACATTAGTATTAATTGTTGAATTAAAAAAAAAATCAAATTAAAAGAGAAAAAAAAACTAGGATTAATTAATAATTTAAATACATTCAAAGGTACCTGAATAAGTATTGTGAAAGATTGAACATACATTTATGAAGTATTTCAAATTTCAAAAGGGGAATTAATCATAAATTTCGAAATAAACTTTTGTATACCTTTTCGAATATTCTTACTAACTTCAACGGAAATTTCCATTTTAAATATTTTACCATTTTCTTTCATTCCTTCAAACCAATCTCATCCATAATTGATGCTTGACATTATTTCCACTTTTTTTTTTTCTTATATTCGACAGTTATTATCAAAGAAGGCGTAAATGGTATATTCTGCAGTCCGATTTTGCCGATGACAATTAATGTGACCTGTCACAAACGAACAATTGAACAAAAGCGATACTTTTGCTCTTTGGTTTTTTATGGCATAATTAGATCTTTTTTGGGGAAAATAGCCGAAACGATATAATGTAAATTCATTGAACCATCACAAGGACTATTAACTGGAAATTCAACACAATTGTTGACCTGATGAATGCAAACTGGATTCGTACTATTTTAGGTTTTTCGATTCTTTTTGCCAAATCTCAAATCTTTGAACTAATTTTATCCCACTGATTTGTTATACTGTTAGCAACTAAAAGTATAATTTAGTACAGTTTGATAAACAGATATACTAAAGTTATCAACATGTCTGTTGTATGATATGCTAATTTTACATTTTTCTGATTTGAAAAGTTTCCTTCTTTTTTTTATACATCAAAAATGATTGATCAGAAGATTCCAGGTCTACAATGATTGATTAGTGATTCCAGGTCAATCTTCAAAATGTCGCAAAAGCAATCGATGTTAAAACAGTAACAAAAAGCAAAGCTTGGCTAATTCCTTTCTAAACGTAACTTAATCATTTCAACATAATTTTCAAAAATTTCTTAAATCTTTCGTTTTGTATCTTTGCCAAAAAAATCAGAAACAATAAATACAATTTTTATTCGTCAAATTTCAACACTTTCACGAAAAAAAAAGCTTTTACAATCCAATTATAATTAGATCTTTAAGCAAATTAACAATGATAATTAACAAAATGATAAATAATGCGGAAAGAGGAAGAGAGAAAAGTGAAATTCATGAGGAAGAGAGAAAGAAAGAAAGAGAGAGAGAGATGGTAATTTGGTACTAAATTAGATTGTAGAAATGAAGTAGTAATAATCAAAATGATAGAAGTGTATGTGGAAATGATGGTACCATTTTTTTCTGGAAATTAATAATTTATTTGGTAATGAGGAATTTTAAGTGGAAAGCTTGTTTTAGCTCTATTTTGGAAACAGAAACATGTAATACCTCAATGAGAGAGAGAGAGAAAGAGAAAGAGAGAGGGAGAGAGAGAGAAAGGTAATTTGTACTAAAATAGATTGTAGAAATGAGATAATAACAATCAATCAATTCTTGAAATATTAATACTTCCCTCGAAATGTTACAATAATCATAGCAAATGATAAGGAAAAGATGTTGAATGATTGATAAAAATGAAATGATAACAAAGTGTGAACAAAGTTATAAGTTTGAAAAAAAAGAAAATCAACAAAAAAAGACACTAAAGATAGGAATATTTTCAAATTAATTCATAAAAATGATTTTCAGTAAGTTTTTATATTCTGTTATTTACGGTGATAAATGGATTAAAATCACTGATAGCGAGAAAAAATCAGTGCCTAATTAATGCTGGTCATCTAATTGGATTGAAAAGCTGATTTAGGAAATTCATATTTGTATCATATTTACATCAATATAAATTATAAGGGCAAAGAAATTAAGTTAAAAAATTAATTACTTAAAATTATCATATTACATTACAAATAAGCACATGAATTGAATATACTAATCAGTTTAACGCATTAGCATTTGAGTACCACAAATAGAATTTTTCTTTTTTACCAAAATCAATCTTCTTTTAATTACGTGTGAAATTTAAAGAGTCACCTGCCAAAATTGTGTTTTAATTAAAACTTATTGAAGTGAAAGTTTCGAAATTATTAAAATTCAAGTGAAATTGTGCTTTCTAATGCATCGATAAAACTTAGAAATTAACAATTTATTAATTTAAAGCATGCAAATTATTTTGGCATATTCAAATTTGCTTATTATAAAAATTTAAAAACGAATGGAAAAATTTGATGAAAAAGTTGGGTGGTGGTGAATCTGTGAGTAATTATCAATCATAAACGTTTTCCTCACAATGTTACGATACCTGTATGAACCTGTATGAATTGTTGATATGACAATTGTATCAGAGCTTAAAATTTTGAAGCATTAAGAAATGGTGGATTTTCAGGTAATTAAATAATCAGTGCATAATTAATACTGATAACAATCTTATCATCTAAGTTAGACTTAACAAATAGTCAGATTTAGTTATGAATTGGAAAATTTGAAAAAAAAAATTACCAAAAGAAGGAAAAAAATCACCGTAATAAAGCCGTAAAACAAAGAATGCATCAAACAACTCTGCAAATTAACGGAGGATGTTTCTTTGATATGTAGTAAGGGAACCTGATATTACTTATTGATAATGCTTTTATCATCGTTGTACAGTTACCATGGTTGGCTTCCAGTAAAGCGCATAATTCATCACCAAATAGGATGATTGCGTCGGATAGGTTTGATAAGAATGATAACTTTTTCATATTGAATATTATCGTGAATGATAATGAATCATAAAAATCCCAATCCCTGAAAATAGCCTTTTCGGTGAATTTTCCTGAACAAAAAAAAGAGCAAGACGGATTTTAATTTTAATTTTATCAAATATTTCGTACAAAATAAAATTTACCCCAACTTTGTGAAATATTCTTTACAATAATTCACTTCTAAAAGCGTATATGATTTGTCAATTAAAGATGAGACAGTTTCTTTAAATTAAATCGAAAAGAACCTAGAATGATCTATAGATCTTAAGTGATGAATTGTTTTGTACTTCCTTCTTCCAACGTGTGAATTACGACAATACCACGTGAAATACTTAAGTAGCGCAAATTAACATCACTGAGAATTCGCACTGGTATTTCTGGTTTGCCCATCAAGCAAAATTTGCATAATGCTCTTATAAAGTGCTAAGTATAGAATCATCTCATTGTTAACCTGTTTCACCACATAATAGAACTACAATATATAAATATAATATATGTAAATTGGAACAAAAAAATCAAATATTGTTCGCCAGAAAAAAGTTAACTTTTAATTTCACGAGTTGTGTGACAATGGTGATAATGTGATCGTTTCGAATGACAAGGTCTAGGATGAAAAATTTGAAAATTTTGTATGTAAATATGAAATTTGTCACATTAAATTTAATTTAATCAATATTTTTCCTATACAATGACAAGTTTATTAAAGCTATTGAGATATGAAAAAGAAGAAAATTTTATCTTCATAAAGAGACGAATAATAAAAAGAAAAAAAGAAAAAAATGAAATTTAAAGTAAACTTTTCGATGATACGAACTATTCGTTCATAACATTCTGATATTATTATTGGGATGAATATTTCGAAATATGTTTAATTCCACGAAATTCAATCTATTGTTTGACATAAATTGCATTTTAAAAGTAATATATTTTAAAGTAAAATAGTCTTCTGTTAAGATTAAATTTTGTAATAATACATATAGCATCCGTCCTTTGTTGTCAAAGAAATGTCGCAATCTATAACATTTTTCCTTTCAAATTCAATTCATTTACCCTCCCTCATCAATCCTACACAATTATATTTCATATCCAAATATAACACAAGTGAACTAGTTCATTCGAACATTTCCGCTTAATGCTTTACTATTATGGCTTGTGAAGGAACATTTCTTTATCGCCAACTTTAGGTGAACTTTGAAAAGAATTTAAAAGATAATTCATGTCCTTAAAGCTAATTTATATCCTATTTAGCAGTTGAATTAGAATAAACAATAAAACAAATAGCATTTCAGAGGTTGACCATCAGATATGTCTAGTGTTGCAATCATTTTCCATATAATTTTAACGAGTAACAATGAACTGAACAATGGGACAGTAGTACTAACCACATGTTTCTGAAGCAGATTATTACTAACATAATTGTATGAACTTTCCAAATTCACAAAAGTTTTCTCAAACACATTTGCGGAAGTGCGCTTTTGTCCGGACCATGGGATTTGCAATTGTTATGCGATTAAATTACCTGAAAACGTAAAGACCAGGAATCACGGAAATATAATCTTCACATATTTCAAATCAATTTTTGATCAAACACTATTGATAGGCATCATTTCTTATCTTAATATGACAATATATATCCTAGAGAATTGAGAAACTTTCCTTTCTGTTTGAAAATCAGTGATAAGATGATAAGTATGAGATAACTTTATGGATGTAAGATGAATCAAAATATGTAAGTAAGTAAATTGATAAATACGTACCAAACACTCTTTTAGCTCCTAAAATTAAAACTTTCCGTACTTCATTCTCGCGCAAAATGAGAGGCAATCTTAAATCTGGACAACTTCATTGATTTGATAAGCCACTGAAAAGTAATTCTTGCAAAAGATGTCCTTTAGATGAAAATGGTAATAGTTCCTAGAAATGACAAATTTCCACAATAAATCTATCATGATAATTCGATAAGAATGCTCCTTGCTTTGATATCTTATCATTTTCCAGTCTAAAGGCCTAGATTCTATTCCTCATATCAGTTTAAAAATGAAAATTTAATAAAATTGTAAAGTTCTTCACTTCATACGGATAATGCTGTGATATGGGCAAGCATTCAATGAAGGAATTTCTTCTGCTATCAAATGACAAACTGATAAGCCAATAAACAAAAACTGCTCGGTATCAAATAATTTAGCATATGCTAATTTGTTTTTTTGCGCTTGACAAATAAAACTACCAGATAAAACAACTAAGATTAGTAATACAAACGATTCATACATTTTCTTATCATCCCACATCCTGCTTGATTTTCCTCGAAAATGATAAGCAAATGTAGTGATTATTGAGAAATTAATGAAAGGTGAAATGATTACCGGTAAATAATAAACAATATTTGGTAAGTGACAAATTAATCACCAATGATTGATTAAGTAACAAACAGTGATAAGTGATAAGAAGCTCATAAATGAAATTTTAAGGATTGTTTACCGACAGTATTTTCAAGCAAATCGACTAACCATTGACACTTGTATCTCAGAACTTTAAAATCGATTAATTTTGTACATATTTCATACAATGAGATATAAAGGCATCTTTTCGCGATGCTTTCTCGACCTTTTGTAAATTATTTGACAAAATTAAGCCAACCATTAGCTATATAAATCAATGATCCTTATCACTTATCAGTAACTCAAGAAATTATCAAAATGATCAGAATTCATTTGAACATTAAATTACCACGAATTGGCTGCACAAAATGCACCAAGATATTACCTATTCCCTTGTCTTCTATTTCATCCGCCCAATCTCCTCTCGATCTCGAACTAACTAATGATGCATTGATCTCATCTCTTTTCGAACATAACTATTTACTTAATCATCTTTTTCCCCCAATTTGATTCACTCCGGATACAGAGTTGTTCTTCAAGATCTCCCATTTAACGGGAATCGATAGACTCGGTGAAAAAGGAACTCTCATTTGTCCAAAATGATCAGATACAATGAGAAACGGGAATTTTTACGATTTCAATCGTAAATTTTATGGTCTAAATTTCAATCCCTATTTAACTGATTATAGTTCCAAGGAATTACTTATTTATTCAATTATTAAAAACATAACTAATTATATATTTTTTATTTGTCGCATTTTATTTGATCATTTTATATTTTATATCTTAATTAAAAATTCTTTAATTAATTTTTGTGGCTAACAAATTAATTATCACACAAAACCTACTTAAATATGTTTGATGCAATCATGCATTCCTATTAAATATCAATTGGCTAGTTTTTAATTGCTACAAAAATTCAGGTAATCAATTCATTGCTCATTCTTCAAACGTTGTTAAAACTTGATTGTTGAAATAATATTGCAGATTAATTCTAATATTATAATGTATGACTGAAAGGAGCTTCAGCCGATTGAAATTTTTATTGCTTGAAATGTAAACATCTTTAAAACACAAACTTGAATTTTAAAATAAGAAATGAAATTATTAAATAGAATGGACTAATATTTGATGGATAAAAAGTACGGATTAACCGCCAAATTAACTTCCCATTTTTATGTTTATTTCAAAAATTATTGACTGCAATGCTTTTATTATCATTACTGATTAATTTGATATGATTATAGTTACCATTGAACCATTTTTGAAAAGATATGAAATTTAACTGTAGTAAGAAAGATCGATTTTGATGCTGCAAAAAAATCAAAATGTGAAGTGAAGTGAAGTGAAATGAAGTTTTATTAAATGTTTAAAAATAAATTCTGAGTTTTTTTTTTTTGGAAATCTCAGCAATTTTTTAAAAGAAAAAAAAATGATTTCAGAAAAGAAGCATGGGATAAGTTTTGAAAAATAAAGGGAAATCGAAAAGTATCGATTGACAGAATGTATACTTTGATTTTGACATTTACATAAGAACAACTCAAATAACTCATATTGTTATTAAAAAAAATGAAATTTTATTTCAACTTCGATTCTTCTAAAATTAGGGACAAAAATTGATTGCAAATTACGCATTGTTGAGAAAATTTTATGAAACTCTGTGTCTTTTTAAAGAATGGAAGAAAGTAATGTTAGCAATTAATTAGCCGTTATTCTATTTTCTCTTTTATTTACACTCCCTCAAATTTAAATATTATTTTTTATTCCAAATAAAATAAAGTTTTAAGTTGAATTATTCTATTTAGTAATAAATACTAAAATGGATCCTTTCCCACTTTTTGTCTCTTTGAGAATTTTCCATTCACATCGATGTCTTTTTTAATTCTTTTCTTTCATTTCATGCTTACTTCTTTGTTTCCTTTAAATTTCAAAAATGCCACTTCACAATGTTAGTAAATAAACAACTAAGCACTTCTACAATTGCACTTTTTTTCGGAAGGGAAAAGATAAAAAGGATACCTTAAAATTTATCAAAATATGAAAGATGATAATTTAAATTTGTCACAGAAACCATTTTTTTTCTTATTTGATTTCTTGCGATAAACACTATTTAAATTTACTGCAGAGTTAAAAGATTCTCTCGTAATGATAACACATACATTATTGATTAATGTTAAACATAATCGTCCATTTAATCAGTATTCCAATGTTACGAAAAGAGAACAGAAAATTTCAATAACTTTTATAAATTAATTAACGAATAGTAAATCTATTGTCAACTTTTCCCATCCAATATTAGGAAACGTTGGACGAAAGATGTCGTTACGCAAGAAACCAAATTTCCGGATTCGAACAGTAAGGAAAAAGAAAATCTATTTGGTATCTAACTGAAATGACTAGTAAATAGTTCTCCTAATAGTCAATGGAATAAAAATTAAAGGTCAAAGGAGCATCTCTTTAAATTGTATAAGTTTTTAAAAGCATTAAATATTAATAAATAAAATATGTTTCATATCGGATAAGCCATATCAGAAAGGTAAGATAACATTATTCCATTGAGCGGTCACTTCATCTTGTCAACTGAAGGGACAGATTGAGCAACGGAAAACATTTTTATTGAATTGTCATCATTATCTGTAGCTGTTGATTGATTACTACGATACCTTAATTGCAGTAATCAAACAAGAAAACTACCTTTGCCTCCGATAATTTCAACAAAAATTAATGAAATGGCATTAGTAGTG